CAGACAATTGGCTATGGTGCAAGGGGCTGGATCTCTCCGTCTGGGAGAACAGCACTCTCTGGAGCACAGTAAGGGAAGCGCAGGAGAAAGCTGAGAAGCCCTGAAATCTCCAGCAAGAACAGAGCTGTTCAATTGCTTAAGTGACTACTGGAAAAACCCCCATCTCCAACTCCCCCAAACGTCTTGATTACTTGTTTTATTTGCATCCTTGTTCAGCCCATATAAGCAAAATGTGCATCAGTGTTAGCTAAATAACAGCTTGCAGTTGATGCTGAGCTGAAATTGGACTGTAAATTCCTGCTTTCTGAAGAAAAAAAGCCCGTGGGATTGCTGTGAAACGAAATTGCTCCCTGGAGGCATGCGAGTGCTGCAGCACTTGCTCTAGATCATCTGAGGTTTACAGAAGCTGAGAGCCTGCGCCCATCTCACCAGTGTCCACTTAAGATCTCAAGTAACCAGTTTTGGCCATGACAGCAAAGGGATCCAATTAGCTCCAGCCAACTCATGCAGAGAGGGCATCTTCTGCAAGAAAAAGCTTTGGATGCAAAGCAGCTCCTAGGAGTAGCCAGGCTTGAGGGGAAGGTTAGCTTAGTAACAGTAGCAGGTCAGGATGCTGCAAACAGGCTCTAGGTTCTCCCACCATCCATATCCTCCCACAAAGACTGCCACCATTCCTCCTCCTGCACATTGAAGGTGGGAGAGAAGCCACGGACAGATGTCTTCCTGCTGGAGTGCCTCTAGTCCAACATTAGCATGCAGCAGAGTAAATGACCTCTAAAAGCAAAGGCCTGAAGCTTTTCACACCATGTCATGGTCAGTCCACGTGAACTGCTCTGCTGTAGACTAAGGGAGAAAAGCATCCATGATGAAGAGGCTAGAGTTTATCTTGCTTTCTTTGTGCAGGTTGCAAGTATGTGTCTCTGGGTCAGAGCTTTCTTGCAGTGCCTCTTCCTGCCGGGTCTTGCACTGAGGTCCAAACCCTCGCAGACCAAACTCAGCCCAGGGGTCAGCAAGCACCGCACCTCCTGAACTCCGTGGGAGTGGTGCCTGCTTGCTTCAAAGGCAAATTTTACCCTGTGTTTATACCATCCTACAAGGCATGAAAAGGCCTAGGAGGTCACACATCCACCACTGTAATTTCAGGCAGGATCAAACAGAAAAGCAACAGCTGGGCTGAGTGAGCAAGTCCACGTTTAATTACAAATGGTTTTGGTAATAAGCAGAGGCAAGAACAAAGCCAGTGAAAAACCTCCCTTTTTCTTCCTGGCTCCTGTTCAGGCCGTGTAGAAACAGCTGCCTAGAGGGGAATCTCAAATAAGATCCACCGACTACATTTTTTTCATTTTCAGGACTGCTACAGCAGCACTGTTCCCTATGCAACGCTGCTGTGCTTTGACAAGCGTCAAGGACCAACGGGCAGATTGCAGCCGCTCACACCAAAGGGCTCGGGTCTGTGCAGGTATTTCCCAGCCTGTAGCTCAACCCCCCCGTTGTGTCTCAAGTCACATGTGCACAAGTACACGCACACAGTCATTCTGCAGTAAGCTGCACGGAGGATTTCATTTGCTTTAACATCCTCTGAATATGAAATGGTGGCTGTAAAATAGGATTACTAGCGTGGAGGATGATGGACCCAGCTTGTGGATCCTGCCTGGCCCGGGGAGGGGGGAGAAAGCAGCTCTCAGAGCACCAGGGACGCCCACAGAGCTGAGTGACCTCTCCATCAGGTCATGCATTTACAGCCAGGAGCTACTCTTGCTGCCCCCAAAAGGCCCTGGAGCAGTGGTAAGGATAGGAAACGGGCCCTAAAACACACAGACAGGCAAGAAGGCTTAGCGGGGTGGGTGGAGGGCATTTTGAATGCCAGGAGCCTTCCACCCATTTTTTGTGACAGCAAATTAGAAGGGATCAGTGGATCCCCTCATCACATCTGATACCGGACAGCATCAGTGAGAGCCTAACACAACCCAAGAAACACAGCCGGAACAGAGTACCAGCCCCAAACCCCTCCAACAAACTGATACCCACTGCTGACAGACCGCTGCCTAGCTGGGTGTCACGGAGGGACACGATGGGAATAATGGGAAGGCTGGGAAACCATCACATCCCTGGGAACCAGGGGCTTCTGACCTTTCTAGTAAACCCTGCTGAGAGAACCGGGTGGGTTGTTTTGTACTCCTGGCTTTAATTACAACTAAGTGTTTAAGTTATTCTCCTCCAACCACCCCCACGTTCCTCACAAGCACAAATCTAGCTTTTTATAGCGCATCCGGTATGGATGTTAAACACATTCAGGAAATGCACTTTCAGCCCCAAACATCCCTTCCCCTGGACCAGTTAGGCTGCAAGGGTTTGTAACGTGGAGATGTGGAACCGGATGTTTGGTTTTGTGACCGCTGCTTTCCTGGATTACTTCTATCTGTTTAGAGAAGGGAAATTAAATAAATGCAGGGCAGGCTGGCTGCATCCAGAAATAATGCAAGCTGCTTGCAAGGTGAAGAAAGGAAAGCCAAATGGAGAGGCCACCCTTAGCTGCTTGAATCCCCTGCACGCAGGGCAAGGCTTTTTTTTTTTTTTTTTAAATAGCTGACAAAGCTTCTGGGGGCTGACAATGGCTCACGGCACAGTGGGTGTCCACAGGCATGTCTAGGATCCTGAATCACATGTTTTTCAGTGCCTTCTAGTGATCCTGACCCAGACTGGGGCTCTTCTGTAACGCACAAGGGAGAAATGCACCCTCTCCCCCAAAACTTGCATTTTAAGTAGCCAAAGGGCACCAGCAAAGAACCATCAGGCTACGCCAGGCCCCGTCGGTCCCCAGGCGCTGCTCTGGCATGTCACCGAGGCTTGTGGCTCTTTGCTCCAGAGGAGCAGGGCTTGGACAATAGCTTGGCTCCAAGTCTAAAACCTGACCTTTGTAATTTTCTTAACATAAGGGACTCGCCTCTGGCTTTAAGGAACACTGCAAGCCTCTTAGTAATTTTCTCACCTGAAAATACCCTGGCTGACTTCCCAGCTGGAAGCACCCTCCCAAGCCCAAAGGCAAGCATGTTCACTGGCAGTCTCAGGGATCAGTCTCGGACACTATCCCAAGGTAGAGAACTCCCTGGAGCCCAGGGACCAGAGGGCACACGCTGGCCAGGCTGCCCCAGACAGTCTCCTGCTAAACTCTCAAGAGCGCTGGGCTGTTCCATACATTGATCAAACTATCACTGCTGTAGTATCACTGCACAAAACCAGGATATTCTGCAGCAGGTTGCAAAAGGGAAGGCACATGGGGCTGCATTGCATCAGGGTTTGCTGCTCTGAAGGAAGGCAAGGCATATAAGCCCGGGGTATTTTTCCCCTCCCTTCCCTGCAGCCAGGCCACCTCATATTCTGGGCAAGCAACTGTCAGTAGGACATCACACATCAGCAAGCTGAATGACAACCTAATTAAGCTGCTTCCAAAATGATCACACTGGAGGAAAGTTAAAGGAGTCCTCGAACTCGTTATTTCTTATATTGATTCTCATTCCTTATTTGATGTAGATTCTTCACTTCAAGTATCTGCAGCGTTAACTCAAACTGAGCTCTGGCTGTTTCTCCTGAGCAATCAGAGCTCCAGCACAAGCAGCCATGCACCTTCGTAGTGACTAGGCTGTGCAGGCCTGCTGGCCATCCGCCTCCTCCCCTGGGCCAGTAAGATAGAGGAGGAAACACGGATCCAAGCAGAGCAGGAAGGTGAGCAGCCCATGGGGCTTTCCCAGTGAACTACCAAACCTGCCTGCACTCAGAGCAGCAGGGCATTTGCTGGGGGAACTGGAAGGCAGGTTTGAAGGCACGGGACCACCAGAAGTGTGCACGACAAGGAGCTGCCCTAGCTTCAGCTGCCACCCAAACCACCTCTGTGGCCAGCCAAGTTGAAGATAGAACGCCAGCCCCACTCAAGGCAAGTTTTCTCAGCACAAAACCCCATACATAACACTTAGGTTACAACTAATGAGCTCTGCAGGGACGAACCCTTGTGCGGCATGAACAACAGCAACAAGACTATGCTCATCTATGCATTCATTCGTCTTGGGAACAGCAGCTGTCGAGAGTCACACACGCACACACACACAATGCTTTCACTACCCTGATCTAACTACAAGCCATGCAACACTTAGCTGGAGAAATGAGTGACAATCCAGCTGCAGCAACTGAATAACAGCCTATCTCAGGGAAAGGCAGCCTTAACTCACACTGGAGAATTGCTCTTCAGCAGATGGGAAGGACAATGTATTTATTTGATGGGTCTTGTTTCTATGTGACCAAATCGTAGGCAGCTTATGTCTTTCAAATATAAATGCAAATGACTGACTTAAATAAAAATCATTGTTGGAACACAGAAGCATCTCCTCTATTCCTGATAAGCGGGTGATCTCCCAAGCTCATCAAGAGCCACACAGAGTGGCATGTCAGATGCACAGGCGACCTGACCTCTTTGTATCTTTGACAAGCATTATGATAATCTCAGAATTAGGTGCTAGAGCTTGAACAGAAAGTGACAAATCCACATCGAACTATTAGAGAACATCGCAGAGGCGGAAGCATCTCTCATTCAAATGCTCCCCCAAAGTTTATAAGAAATCACAGCCCAGCCTGTTGTGGCTTTTTATGGTCCAGAGAAGCACCCTTCAAAGGAACTGCAGGCAATCTCAGGCATGTTCCTTGGTTAACTGCAGTTTCATCAAGCTGCTCAAGACATTCAAAACAATATTTCCTTACTAGGATGAATGATTTATGGGGATTGAGAAATTCGAGCCTGAACCTACGAAGTGAGTCACTGGGACTCATGGGTTGCTTCCCCCGCTTCCCTCCCCCCCAAATTGTCACACCTTCCAGGCCTAGTCTTGCTCCCACCGAAATCCTGCAGAAAACAAATACCCATTAGCTTAAATACCACAGAGCCTCTATAGGCTCGAGCGCCGTCTTTCTCACTAAGGGGCCATACCTGGGCAGAGAAACCACATACTCACCCAGAGACTGTCGGGAGGGAAGCTGGAGCTGCTGACTGCCGTTTCTCTTGCTGCTTCAGAAAAGATTTAGCTTCTTTTGAGGTTGAGTCCACTTCTTTAGTCACTCTGTTGGAGGAAAAAAGATGAACCAGAGAGTAAGGAAGAGCCATACTCACAACAGCAAAACCAAAGATCGGGCAAGGAAACACAGAAAACAGGTACAGGAGTCCCCACACCACCTGCAGAGATCACCTCCATCAGCTGCAAGCTGAAGAACATGCATCTTGTTAAGATTTCATTCCAGTGACAAACCCTCTATATTCATGGCAGAAAAAAGGAAGAGAGTAGCTAATTAGAGCTGGGGGAGGAGGGGATTTTTTCTTCAAACAAACAGGAATGCTTATGCATTCAAACAGGCCTGTCTCACCAGCAGCTACTGAACGCTCTGCTCAGGTCACTGGGGGCAATTCCAGGCTCTTTATTGGGCTCTCGATTTCCTCATTTGTTGGTCAGCGAGGCAGCTCTTCTGCCACAGCTGTTCCGCCACCCACGTCTTGCCACCCACGGCACACGGGCTTGGCAACATCTGCAACCCAAACCAGAGCACAGAAACTGGCTCCGGGGACGGGGAACGGGAGAGAAAGCTCCGACAAGGCAGAATGCAGAAATTTACTCTCATTTTCTAGTTAATTTTTGTCTGAGGCCCTGAGGGTGCAAAATATGGAACTTGAAAAAATTATAAATCAATACGGCATCTACAGCAGGGAATGAATTACAAACATGAGAAAGATTTTCTAGAAAACTACTCAATAATTAATTGTTAGAAAACCCCAGCTACTTTAGCCTCATTTACAGTGACCTGCCTCCAGCAACATGCTTTTCACGCTCTCGGTAGCTCTTAATGAGGTTGCCCCGGTTTGACAAGCTAACAATTTTGCTCCCTTGGAGCACAAGCCTTGTGGACCTCTCCAGGGCCCTGCAGCTCTGTGGGCACAGAGGCAGCCTGACCCACGGCTCAGCCAGCCCAGAAGGCACGGTCCTCCATCCCACCCTCCCGCAGCCTGGGCCTCTGGCTGCATCTGCTGCCAGCAAGGGTGGGCAGGCTCGTTCCTGGTCTAGAGCATGTGCCGATGAGAGGCCGAAAGCCTCGTTGGTCAGAGGATCTGCCCTGGTTACAAGTCAGGCTAATCGCTGCTTGCTTCCTACCCACCATCCTGACCCTGCAACTTCCATGTAGAAACTGGCTGATGGACACGGAGAAACCCGAGGACCTGCAAACCCAGCTGGGTTACTGCTAGGTTGGCAACAAGGAAAGCGCTGTGGAGTTATTTGTTAAGCCCGGAGGCATCGATGTCCTGAAATCCCACTTGCACACAACCAGTGCACACATGTCCCCATCCTGACAGTGAATCAGCATCTGAAGAAGCGGTTAGGGAAGGGAAACTGTTCTTCCTCCTTCTCCCCAGACTGCAAATACGGCAGAAAAGGCATGTTCAGAAATAAGAATAAATTCTTGTGCTGTACACCTCCTGCTCAGCCTTGTTCTGCCAGTGCAGGAGGAGATTAACCCCGTTTCCCCCCCTGCACTCTCACATGCCTTTCAAACCGGCGGCAGTCATGCAGATAGAGACAAATCCCACGTTATGAATATTTAGAAGTGTGTGCTGATCAGATTGGAAAGGAGTGGGGTGGGAAAAGGGGGAAAGCAGTTAAGGAAGGAACAAAAGCCTTACTACAGCATCATCACAATTTACAGCATCCCAAACACACCACCCAGTCACAGCCCTTGGCAAGGACGGTCACATCATGCAGCAGTCATATGCCAAAGGTTACTCTATGTCCATGAATTTCCTTCGACAGAATAAACTCGGTGTCTTCATGCAGCAATTAGCCAGAACTCCCCACAGAGCCCCCCCGAGCCACAAGTGCCGGGTTCACATTAATACAATCACGCAGCCTATTTATTTTCAAACGCAGTGTCCAAAGAGCCGGCTCCGTCCCCTGCCCAGCTGGGGAGCAGCACCATTTCTCATGCACTCTGCAGCACTGGCTCCCGGCACAGTCCCCCTCCTCCTGTCACCCCCCTGCACTCTCGTGCCATAAGGGTCCACCCCTGGTGCGCAGGAAGCACGCGAGCTGCCGTGAGAAGCATCAGGCAGACCCCAAGCACGCAGGAATTTCAGAGGCGTAGCATAGTAACCACATGCCCTGGAAAAAAAAACCCTCTGCGCTGGCCTCGACACAGCCACAGGACCTGCTCCTGGGTTAGATCCCAACTATTAAACCCTGCACGTTTCTGGGACTTAAAGAGTGTAGGACCAAGAGGAGGCAGGGGTTGGGAAAAGGAAGCTGAAGTCAGAGAGAGCACGCCTTGCCATTAACTCTGCTTGTTGTGCTAAGAGATGACAGCTCAGCTCCCATAAACCTACAGGAATCTGGCAATTAAACAGCTTACAGGAGCTGGACACGCACGATAGGGAGGTCTTCAAAGCCTGTGGCAGAGCTAGGATCTAAACGTAGGGCCCCTTGGTCTTAACCTCATGACTACCTTCAGTCTTCTCCAACCCAGAGACAAAACTGAATGATGTCCATCCCACCAGTTGAGGTAAAGGAAGGCACGAAGCTAAGATGCACATGAAAAATGGCTCCAGGGATTTGCCGACCTGCAGTCTGACAGCGTTAGCACGCTGTTGGATGGACCAGCGCTACAAGCCACAGCTCTCGGAGCAGGAAGATGGTCAATCCCAGAAAGGGTGAGAAAGGAGAAACCTCTACCTGCTGTGGCCCCTCAACACGACATGCAGGGAGGGTCTGGCGCAGCCCTTCAATGACAGTCAGTTCAGCAGCAAAGAAATCACTTTGTTATCCAGGAGCACGAGACAGGTTGCTACCAAGGGATTACTTAGGCTTTGATACTCGCTTCCTCCACCACCAGCAGCAGCAATGGCTGGGCACAGAATATAACACTTTGTTCAATTTTTTTTGCACCCTTTGGCCTGCCAGCACCTGCTCTAGAGTATATTTTTGAAGTTGTCCGCTGTAGCAACCTGTTCCACCAGGACTGCCCAGCTGGGGACAGAGGAATGCGTCAGAAAAGTAATTAAAAGTGACCTTTGAAGGCGATTCCATCACAAGACCCACTGATTGCCTCATAAACCGAAACAAAAGCAGCTCTGAGGCAGGCTGCTGCTGGGCTGATGCCAGCAGCAACTCCTGCACCGCTCCAACAGGAATGACAAAAGAAAGAATATTAAAGAGCTTTACGAGGTATTAATTCAGGTTATGCACATTTCAACCTTTCCCAGATCCCAGGCCAGGAAGGAAAAAAATCCTCTGGTGTGCATTATTATGGGAGACAATAACTCTCCGTGTAGAAACCAAAACACTTCTTGTTCTTCATGGGGAGAAATGGGAGCCATTAATCCAGCTGGAAGAAATCACAGTCATTACTAAGGAAAATTACAAGACCTTTCACTTTTAAATACTTGATAAATAACTATTTGCCTGACTGTTTACTGGGATGCTATTCACACATTGTAATCCAGAAATAAACATGAAAAGAAGTATATTGTCAGCAATAAAACAAGTAGCTAGTGTCTCACCCACTCGCAGACCCTGTAATTCACACACAAAACCACTCACTCTCATCACTTTCCCGTAAAGATTTCATTATACTGCTATGCTATTAAATTGCATAATACGACTTCCAAAACACAGAACAGTTATTAATTTTCTGGATGTGCTGGAGCCTGGTAGCTACTGTATAAGGTGCTGTGCAACTGTAAAATAGAAAGGTCTTCCACATTTAAAAGTTATTATAAGGAAAACACACTAGAAACTAGATCATCTAAGTGCCTCGAATACTTACAGGTGTCCTCCTTAGGACCCTTCATCGCTGAGCCAAGCTCAAAGTGGTACCCAAGCATTTACGCATACCCATAACCACCCAGCCTGCTGTTTTGATGCCCAGCTGCGGGTATGTTACTTCTAACTTCCACTGAAGAACTTGTCACCCTTCCCTTTACATTTACCAACTGAACTGCTGCAACCTACGTGCATGGAAGATGCCCCAGTTATGTATGCTGGGCACCAAACCACACGAAGACAACCCACATGCTGTCGTGGGCTGTCCCAGAAGTTGTTCCACAAAGCACTTACAGTACTGAACTGTAACATCCTAATTTAAGAACAAGTGTTTGATCTGCTCCCAGCAGCCCCCTTAGCCACATAAGAACCTAAAAGGAAGGAGGAATACAGGCTAAAGTGAGCACCGCATTCACACAGCTCCAGCTAATCTGCAAAAGGGGCTTAAAACCAAATTTTCGGTTCAGTGGCAGAGTAAGTCTAATACACCAGCTTTTCTCCTGCATTCTGGTCTTTACACCAGGTGCAGAGTTACCAGGCGGGAAGAGGAGGGTCCCAATCCATATCACATCATCCCACTCCCGCTACCATGGCACAGCATAACACCTACACCCCAGGACTCACCCCAGTGCAGTGGTCAGGTGCCTCTACTCTAGCAGAGCTGAATCCAGTCCCGTTTGCAAGAAACGGAACTAGCATAAGGGATGCCAAGGGTGCAGCATGTCAGGAAAGCGCCCAGCTCAGCAGCAAGCAGCAAGGTGCCCTGCAAGCCCTTACAGAAGCGCATCAGCAGAGCCACATCCTTGCAAGGAGGGGAAAAAGGAGGCAGGGTCTCAGAGGCAGGATAGGGGAAGCTGAGAAAGACAACGGCCACATCAAGAAAGCTTGCAGGCTTCTGTCCCTAGTCTGCTGTGTAATAGCAACTTTATGCATCCCAAGTGCCGAAATCCCTCTGACTCACTCCCAGGTGGCTATTCTCCTAACCAAAATGCCTGGCGCACATCAGGCTGAGTAAGCACACGTTGGTATTTGGGTATAAAGGGGACTTGGAGCTGAGAAGATAGTTAAGATCCCTAATCGCAGCGGCACAAAGGTACCATCTCCCCTGACCTCCATGCTGAGAAAGGGAGAGCAAGAGTGGAAGCTCTGGAAAATGCCAACTCTTTACCACTTGTACTCAGGACACTCAGTCCTCACTTGGGAAACCTGCTCCAGTTTAGACCTGACACAATTATAAAACTTTCCACATGATCTTAATGTTG